CCTTAGAACCCTACAGGAGAAAAGGTGGCCGCAAGCCTGGACCCATAAATTTCTTTTCTTTTGTTCCTTCCCCTTGATAGTGAAAAGGAAGCTGTAGACTATGGAAGGGAATTCTTAAAGAGCTTCCACAATCAATGGATGCTTTGTCCAACATGTATTTTTCTCCCCTACTAGGTATGTCCAGTAGGCAGACAAGGACACTGAGACTCAGAGACATTACGGCATTTATCTAAGGCCACACAGCTAGTGCACACAGGGCTGAAATTCCCATGACACACACTGCTGCTTGCCTTGTTCCTATCTGACTGCTGAGCTGCTTGCCCTCATCAGAAGAACAAGAGCTGTATATTTAATGAAGGAATCTAACATGTGCCCTGGCATCCAAAAACATGGCTGAACTGCGTGGGGAAGCTCCTGCTTCTTTCCTTTGCCTTCCATCAAGGTGTCCCAAGGACTCCGTGGGACACATTTCACACCGCTGAGTATTTCCCTACATGTAAAATGGTGATGTTAACCCACATATGGTTGAGTGCAGGTGAGGTTTCGCATGTAGCTGCCACTGGCTCATTACTGCCATCAGTGCAAAGAACTACTGCCCCCCAGGACCCCAGAACTGCAGAGGGCTCCTTGGCCCTTTGTGAGACCCTGAACTAGGGAGGGAAACCACACCTTACGTAGGAGTATTTGCTAATTCCTTATGTCCCTTCGCAGGCCAAAGGCCATGGACTGAGGACTTAGCATGCCCAGGCCCTGTGCTCAGTGCTACCCAGATGTGTAAAATGTGTAGCATATCACACAGTGCTTAGTGCAACCATGGAAAGGCAGAGGAGACAGGGTGACCGGGGACAGGGAGTGTTGGTACAGACTTTCAGCTTTCCCTCTCTAGAAGGGACTCTCCGTCTCCCTCCCCTCCCTGGTGCCACTGTCAGCATCTTTCAGTGTAACATTTCATTCAAGGCCTCTGCAGCTCCAAGAGCAATATTGGCTTTGAAGCAGGTCCCAGCAGGGAGGCCTCAGGCTGGGGCTGGGTTTAGGCATCCTTTACGTCCCCTGGAGTGGTGGTCAAGCACCTCGGCCTGATGGGCTATTCCTCACTCTGGGGACGGCCTGGAGCTGTGACCAGTCACTCTGGGTTCTGGGCCATCCCCTACCCTTCGATGTGCCAGGCAGGGGGGAAGTTTACAAACATGAAGGGGCCTTTGATCGGCATTGGACTCCCAGTGCTCTGACTGTTTTTTTGTTCCAAACCACAGGCCAGGACCACATTCTGCTTTGCCTCCAGTAGGGAAAACTATGGGTAGGTGGAATGTGTGTGTACGTGTGTGTGAGTAGGAAGACGGGTTCCTCACATGGAGCACTGATTCTCTCCGACAGGCAGGCTGGTCTTGTAATAAAGAATTCAACTCAATTCAGTATGTACTTATGGACACTGGGCATGGTGCAGCATATCTATAATCCCACCACTTCAGAAGGCTAAAGCAGAATCAAGTTCAAGCCTAGTCTGGTCAATTTATCAAGATGTCTCAAAACTAAAAGTCGAAAAAGAACTGTGGATGTGACTCAGGGCAAAGGCCCTGGGCTCAGTCCCCAGTACTGCCTCCCCACAAAGTGCTTCAGGAGCACCTACTACATTCCAGGCTCTGTTTTAGAAACAGGCTACAGCAGAGGCCTGAGCAAGCCTCCCTGCACAGATCCCATGATCTAGAGGAGGATATAGACGGGAACTACATGAGAAAGTAGGTGCAAGGATGCCAAGTAGTTGTGCCTGACCTCAGATGGAGAAAGCTGGGGAGACAGAGGTGGGGAAGGGAGTCACCCCACACATAAGGTGCTTGTGGAAGGCTTTCAAAGTGGCAGGCAGCCCTGAGAGATCTCTGTGGACTGTGTTAGGTGAAAAGAACAGCAAATGCAAAGGCCCTGTGATGAGCACAAATGGGCACGTTGGAAGTGTGGCTCGTTCCGAGGTGCTAGGGAGGGTAGGAAAGCAGGGGTCCAGAGGTTAAATGCTGGGATGGAGCAGGACAGATTGGCCTTGAGTGAGGTTAGACCACTGGAGCGTTGAAATGGAAGGACAGGACATGAACTGAGATTTCATAGGATTTCCCAGACTGCCTTGGAGGAACATAGCTTGGGGGTACAGTGGGGTGACAAGGGCAGGAGTGAGGGACACCCATGAAGAGGCAGCTGCAGTGCTCTAGATTATCTTAGGCTCAAGATTATGGAGCCTAAGGCAGGAAGCAGCTGGAATGGGGAACTTGGTGGTAGTTTCTATTCATATATGCGTAAGCTTTTTACTGACATGTAACACAAATACAGAAAAGTAGACATGGGGTGGGAAGCCACCAAGCTTCTGGATAGAGGGTGGTATAATCTGGCTCTAGGGTCCCTCTGTCTGCTAAGTGAGAAAGAATGCAGAGGGGCTGGGGTGGAAGCAGGGAGACCAGAGAGAAAACCATTGAGCACAGCAGTGCAGCGGAGCCCAGGAGGCTCCAGGGCAGTCACTGGACTTTCCCATCACTGTCACTTCTTTTTTTTTTTTTTTTTTTTTATCTTTTTGAGACAGGGTCTCACTGTGCAGTTTAGGCCGGCCATGAGCTCACTTTGTACCCCAAGCTAGTCTCGAACTCACAACGATCCTCCTGCTTCAGCCTCCCAAGTGCTGGGATTAGAAGTGTGCGCCACTACGCCTGGCTGTCACTGCATTTTGAATGAAGGAAAAATTGGAATTTCAGCCCTGATGAATGGGTTGTCAT